CAGTGTTTGGGGGTCGTCTGACAAACTGTCTGCGGCCCTTGGACCCAAAAAGAACAATCTTACTTTCATCAGTCCACAAAATGTTTCTCCATTTCTCTTCAGGTCAGTCAATACGTTCTTTGGCAAATTGTATCCTCTTCAGCACATTTTTTTTTTTTAACAGTGGGACTTTGTGGGGCCTTCTTGCCGATAGGTTAGCCTCACACAAGCGTCTTTAATTGTCACAATACTCACAGGTAACTTCAGACCATCTTTGATCTCCCTGGGGCTGATCATTGGCTGAGTCTTTGCCATTCTGGCTATTGATCAATCCATTCAAATGGTAGTCTTTTGTTTTCTTCCACGTCTTTCTGGTTTTGCTTTCCATTTCAAAGCATTAGAGATCATTTTAGCTGAGCAGCCTATCATTTTCTGCAGGTCTTTATACGTTTTCCCCTCTCCAATCAACATTTTAGTTAAAGCACGCTGTTCTTCTGGACAGTGAACTTCTGAACAACCATCTTCCTCAAGTTTTCAGAGAGAATTGCATGTACAATATGTGCTGGCTTCATCCTTCATGAGGGCCATCTGAATGACACCTGTCTCTCCACATAATGAATGACCTCACTGATTGAACTCCACACTGCTATTATTTTGAACACACCCCTTTCAATTAATTATTCGATTACACAGACTCAGGAGCATGCATATCATGAATGTTGGGTCCGTTGGTTTCTCTGTCTCTACTACACCTACTGGTAAATGATTTGCCATGTAATGATATAATTTCTACCAAAAACAGTGACTGATCTGGTTAGTTATGTTGGACTGCTATATATATATATGCTATATATATATAACATAAAGCGCCCTCCTCTGGTCACACAAAGAAATTACGACCATGCCTCCTTCATGAATTTACACAAAATGAACTATTTAACATGAATTCAACTGAAATACATTAAATTAACCCACTGCATTTTTAAAGGGGTTATATATATATATATATATATATATATATAAAAAGCATATACCAAATGTGCTGTTATATACCAAAAGCACTAAATAAAAGCAACAAGTACAAACGTAGTGTGTTTCTAGTTTGGCAGGTTTAACAACAGCACTTTGCTTTGCAAATGAAGCCATCAGAACTGTTTTTAATGTTAAAGAAATAAAACGATTCACAATCAATACTCTCGTTGTGACCGTCGTCCATCATGGCGAGTGATGCTGTGACGTCTTTGGGCCTCCAGGGGGCGCCAACACCACGGCTCCTGAACAGACACCTGCTCCGATACTCTGCAGCGTCGTGATCTCACGATATTACGTTGGAGAGACGTCAGAGCAAGTCGGGATCAAGTAGGACAGAAATCTAACCAGCATGCATTGTGGTCTATCGCCGGGGGTCTAAACTGCGCATGTCTGGCTTATCTCCAACGAGCCTATTGGTAGCCCACATCCATAGTGTATTGTAGTCCCCTTTGCTCAGTCTGTCAGGCAGCAGCGTCTGCTGTGTTCACGGTGAGCCTTGATTTCCGGATCCTACAACACAACAGGCGACGCTGCCTGACAGGCCGAACACGGGGTGAAATTCACCCGTTATCAAAACAAGTTGTGTTGACAGCTCGCTAAGCTAGCCGGATGCTCCTTAGTGTTGCTTCAAGATCGACATTTGGCAAATGCCTGTGCGACTCTTATGGTTTAAAGCGTCTGTTGGCCATTCTTCACTCATGCAGTGTCTGTTATCAGCGTGAGACATGCAGGATCGGTATAACGAGATAGGCTTTGTCCAGCAAATACTCGGTTTGAATTTAGTGCCGAGAAAAAACGGCACACACGGAGGCAACGACACATCTCTGAGCGACTTCTCAGGTGGGTAATGTTTGGTAGCTTGTTAGCTGGAGCTGCTATGTTGCTCTGCTTAACTATTGGACTCAAATGCTGAATAACATTTAAAGTCCTGTCTAAAGTGTTTTCCACGTACCGAACCAGAGGGACGTTAAAATGTACTCAGCTGTGGTGTGGACCTGATGCTAGTTAGCATTGTGTAGTAGTGAAGCTACATAACTTCCTGCTCCATCTAAACGGCTGTTAGCAGTGTTACAACAATGCTTAACAAACGTGTGGTAATATGTCCGACTTTGTGGTTTCAATCAACAACATCAAACTGTTTTAAAGGTGTATATTAATTTACACTGCCTTGCATGATGCCCAGCTATTACTTCTGGTTGCTGTGGGGCTTTGGGGATAAGAATATGTTTGGATATCTAATGAGTACACTGGCAACTAGATCATTAGAAAACAACAGTCTGAAAATGTTGCAGGATGGACACAACAAGATCAGTTTTGGAAAATATAATAAAACCCAGCTTATACTAGTTAGTATATAGTTAATTGTTCTGCCAGATATGTGGCACTAATATAACCTTGTGTCTATTTTAGTGAATTATTTTCTATGTGAGAGCGGATTTTATTGTAAGTGGGAGTCTGCTGGATGTAGAGCAGTCCCCTACACTGTCCTCTGTCCTCTATTCAAGGATACATTGCATTTCAGTGATGACTGATTTTAGCCAAGTGCAAAGAATATGAGACCACCATGTGTATGTACAATGCTTAACAAATTTATTACACCATCTGTCTAATTTGTTAAGCACAGTATATATGTGTAAAGACCATCCAGCAGCATGAAGCGCTTTAATGCCGCTCAGCTCTCCACGTTTTGCCATTTTGAACAAGAATGAAGAATTTCAAACTGAATTCACCTTTTTCACTTTAAATTCACCGGCTCACTGGGCTTCTCTGACAAGTCCGAAATTAATAAAGCATTAAATTCAACCACTGAAACTCATGTTTCTGTTCAGGAATGACAGTAAATAACTAGAATCTGACATCTTAATCAAGAAATAATAATGTGCTTTACTATGTTTTCAGTTTTTAGTAACTGTAAATTTGAAAATTCATGGATAACAATAATTATATTTTAGCATCAAAAGTATTTTGCTTGAAGAGCTTCTACATACTGGTGTATTTACCATTACAGAAATGTAAAACATGATTTTGATAATTACCAATGCTGTTAATTTAGGACAGCATTGACATTATAGATAGATAGATAGATAGATAGATAGATAGATAGATAGATAGATAGATAGATAGATAGATACTAGTCAGTGTGGTCACCTGCACAGAAGGATGTTCATTCTTTATGTAGCTACATTTGTGAGCTTTTCCTTCCATTTGTCACAGATATATTGGCAAACTTCTTTCCTGCTCAGAAAAAATAAAAAGGGACGTCCCAGTAAGCCAGAATCACATTAATGAATAGCTGCACAATGTCATTAAATAGCTTCAGTGTGTTGTTGAATAGTACATGATTGGTATGAAGAGATGTATGACTGCATAATTGTGTGTGTTTTCCAGAGATGTGGTATGGAGTGTTTCTGTGGGCAGCGGTCTCCTCTCTGATGTTTCACTTGCCTGCAGCTTTGCTCTCCCTCGCCACACTGCGCCAGCACAAGATGGCCCGATTCATGCCCATTGCCATCCTCCTCATGGGCATCGTGGGACCAGTTTTGGGGGGAGTCCTTACTAGTAGGTTGTGTGTGTGTGTGTGCGTGCGTGTGTGTAGAAAAGAACATATTTCACCCTAAAAAAATTTATTTGATGACCAGTTCGTCCGTTATTGTCTTGCTTGAAACCAGTCTGTGGTGCAACAAAGGTTGGAGACTGCTGAACTAAAGAATGAGATAATAAGAAATAACTGTGAGAATGCAACGATTGTAAATGATGTAACTCAATTACCTCATTTTGCTAAAGATGACTTATTATCCTGGTGGAGTTGTTGGAACAGAAACACTCACTTCACTTGTGGTGCAGCAGTGTCAGAGCTGAGCCCCTTCCCTCAGAGATTACCTCTGACATGTAGTAACCTACAGCTTAAATAGCATTACTAGCTTATCGACCACAACTCATACTAAGCAATACAACTGTTAAATACTTGTGTTGTTTTCTTCCATTTTTAGGTGCAGCCATAGCCGGTGTGTACAAGGCAGCGGGGAAGACAATGATCTCCTTGGAGGCTCTTGTTTTTGGTGTTGGACAGTCTTTTTGTGTCCTCATCATCTCCTTCCTCAGGATACTTGCAACTCTTTAGCAGTGCTGAGGCCTACTAGGCTGGACCTGATGTCAAAAGGACCTGAGATGAACCTGGTGCAGGACTAGATCCCTGGTGAATCCTTGGACACATGTAAACCAGTCTGGCCTGGCACATGATGTCATGTCCTTTTGATGCACCATGGTGAATTTTCCTCAACTGTCAAGGGAAGAGCTGTGTGTAACCCGACGGCGTGCGTTACGCAGTTCTGGACATTCTGACTTCCTGTCGAGCCGCTGTTGAGCCGTCTGTATGATATTCACTGAATGTGCTGCAACCAATGCTGCGTTCGCATCACAGGACAACAACACACTACATACAGTATAAGCTACCAGCCCCAGCAGTGTGCCCCCAGGTCTTTCCTAAGTTGAGTAAAAACCTTAAGTAATCATTTAATATGTTTTCAGCTGTTCATGCAGGATGTGAAGGCAGCGGGGTGCTGTTCTGCCCTGGTGCCAGAGGTTACAGGTTAGCAGTAGGTTGACAATATCCTCTCTCAGGGTGTGTGTGTGAGGGGGTGTGTGTGTTTCTTTTATTCTGTTTAATCTGACTCCAGTTTGACTCCATGTGATGACTGCAGAGAGACAGGATAGCTGACAGGCTGATCTACAGGAAAGATGATGGTTATATGCAAGATTCTTGCTTTTTCTCTTGAGGCCTTACTTTCTATTTTCTGACTTCCAAAGTGGTGTTTATCTTCAGGGCAGTCTTTCTTTAACATTATTTCTCTCACTGCCCTTTTTTTGTTCTTCCTCATATTTTTTTGTTCAAATTATTACAAGTCTGACTTTACATGTGTTATTGTTAGTTCAGAATTATTTATAAGATCCTACATGTTTCTCTTTGTCTGTTTTAGCTACAGTATACAGCAGAAGGGAGTACTCCAAACGCTATCACTTCTCAATAACTGCATTATTTGCACGCTGAACAGTAAAGTGTTACCTCTAATGAACAATCATGGCAAATACTTTAGACTGCTAGAAACACAAAGCAATAAAATGGCACTCCTGTAATTTCCAAACTGCGTAATTATGGTTCTAAAATGAGCTGTGATCACTACAACGTTCTCAGTTTTGGACCAATGGGCTATGTCCTTTTGCATGTGTGTGTCAGAAGAATTCAAAAATGTGTTTTAAAATCTAAGCCATAGCCACAGTACCACTAATCAGGGCTGAAGGGGTCGTCCACCTAACATGAATGGAAAAACAGTGCATTGCCTACACAGTTGAAGCTTGATGAATATTGGGGCTCATTCTTTAGTCAGATGAGACCAAGATAAATGTACGTGGCTCAGATGAGGTCCAACATGTTCCGTATGAACCTGACAAGGAGCACCACAGAGAAGCATGGAGGTGGGGCTGTTTGAGTGGAACAGGTGTTGGAGAGATGACGCTTGTAGATGAGTAATACCTGTGTAATGTCATGCATGCCTGTGGGTAAACCAAAATACTGACTGACAAGCTGCAGAAGCTTGGCAGAAGAGAAATATTCCACCATGACAATGATCCCAAGCACTCTACCAAAATTACACAAGGGTGGAAGCAATGACTCTTGAGTTGAATCCAGTAGAACAGAGGAGAGCAGGCTGAGCAACACAAATCAGCAGAGTAGCTGAAAAAAGAAAAAAAAAACAGTCTGAAGAATGAAAACATCTCCAGAATTTTGGTATCCTTCATGCAGAGAAGAACTGCGCCACTCATCCAAAATAAAGGTGGACATCAGAAGTATTATAAAATAAATAAATAAAAGCTTTGAATGTCAGTAATGACTGACTTTAGTTAAATTGAACCCCCACTGTTAAGCCTGTATTCTTATTTACAGAAATCTAAACTGTTAGCTTTCAGTCTTAGAGTGCAAATACTCCACTGCTCAACCTAGAAATAATGCAGCTATCGAGAGGTGATACACTCTTGACTCATTTGACATTTAGGTGATATTTGACAAGGCTGTACTCATTTCTCTTGCATATTGTAATTTAGTGAAGACAGGAATAGAAGCTACGAGGGTCTTATAGACCTGTGTGTTTCATCCTGACCACAGCCCTGCAATTGCAGCCTAGAGAGTCTTCAGAGTTTCTTTGCTCACCTCATCTTGGTTGTTTGTTTGTTAGGACGTTTCAGTGAGGGGGCTCCAGGTTGGTCAGGTTGCTAAGCAAACCCAAAAACATATGAGCTTTTAATGTTTTCTTTTCTCTCTTTGAATAATAGTATGTTTCACAAGTTTGTCATTTTGTGACAATGAACTGATTTGTATATATATTCTGAATTATTTCCAAGTCTTTGTGGCTTTTCAATCTTTATGACCAAATATGTATTGCTAATTTATTTTTCTGCACTAAATGTGCATACTATGCGTCAACAGATGTGTATTTTCTTGCGGTTTCTATGGGCTCAATAAACTCCCAAATTCCCATAATCTTCACTGACTACTTTTAGTTGCTTCTTGGAGCTGAAGATGCTTTTGAATTTGCATATACGAACATAGGAAAAATAAAAAATAAAAAAATAAGATGGACTTGCAAGTAATACTGTTTGCTTTCTGTAATGTAACTACTTTGATTTAAACTTCTAGAAATGCATTGGTCTGGACTGCTGTGTGAAAGGAGTCACATTTAATATTGACTTAGGTCCCATTATCTATACACCGCTTAATCCTCACTAGGGTCGCGGGGGGGCTGGAGTCTATCCCAGCCGACTTAAGGCGAAGGCAGGGGACACCCTGGACAGGTCACCAGTCTATCACACTTAGAGACAGACAACCAAGCACACTCACATTCACACCTACGGACAATTTAGAATCACCAATTAACCTCAACATGTTTTTGGACTGTGTTGGAAGAAGCCGGAGAACCCGGAGAGAACCCACGCTGCACGGGGAGAACATGCAAACTCCACGCAGAAAGATCCCAGGTGTCCTCACCGGGACGTGAACCGGCAACCTTCTTGCTGCGAGAAAACAGTGCTACCAACTGCGCCATTTATTTTATTTATTATTTATTTTATTTCTTGATTAAAGGCTGCATATGTTAACACTTCCATTCTGTAGAAGTTGAGGCAGACATCTTCTCTAGACAATGGACAGGGCTGAATTAACCAGCTACATGGTCCTACAGGTTCCCCATCAGTTAATGCTTGATTTGTACTCTGTAGGCTTTATATCAACTAAAAGCTTTACAAAGGGTCCCTCTATAAATAAGGCTCTTAAATAAGATTCAGTTCAAGGTTCATCTTTAATCCTATACAGTTGGAGTTGACTGTAATTTAATGATGCATGATACCAAACAGAAATGCAATAATCACTGTAATGCAGTGAAACTGGAGCTTTTAAAGGTTTGGGGCCCTGGTGCAGCTGCCAGCTTCACTCAGTCAGTACTCTACCTTTCATTATTTATGGAACAAAAGGAAGATAGGTGGCAAATAATTCTGGTAGAATCTGTGCAGCAGAGTTTGGGTAAATTATATTCTGTCATCTCTAAAACTGTTCTTGTGTCTCGGGGTGTATTTCAAGTCTTGTGCAAGTTATTTTGCACATGACATTCCTATTGGATTTATTTATTTTTTGTTATTCCCTCTTTGTGCCGTAATGATCCCACTCTGTGCAGCCACGCTGGTTGTGCTGAAATCTCAACATCAGCTCCTGAGCTGCAGCTGTATTTGCATACTGCCAGCATTGTTACTTGGAAGCCAATTGGCTAGTTTTAAAAAAAAAAAATCATTATTTAGTAAGATACACAGTGGGCTGACTTTGAGAAAGGATTTAACTTCTGCTATAGTACAGAGAGAGCAAGCAGCTAGATGTCTGCATAACTCCCTCAAGGAATTTTGAAACTCCAAACCAAAG